GTAGCCTTACTGATACACCAGTCCAAACGTGTTAGGGCAGCTTCCTCACAGAACATGGCCAAAGGACCTCCTGCCATCTACTGGACAGAGAGAACATCATGATTTGCAGAAAATTAGCATTACTACAGTGTTAGGCTCACAGTATCTCAAGTAACAGCAATTTTCCACTCAATGGTTTAAAAGCCCTAATGTATTAAAACAGGTTAAGAAATATACAAGAATATTCTCAGAGAATGGTTCCCTGTAAGGTGAGATGAAGGCAAACCAGAGGAAGAAAGGAAGGAGGGAAGCTTAACAATTGGGTACTTGTGTCAGCATTGTATTTAGTGAGTATACTCTCATTCCTCCCAACAATGAGGTAGGCACATAAACCCTATTTCCAAATGAGGAAACTGCAACACACAATACAGGGAAATTGGCTGACTCTTTTATGTTATCTGCCTCTGGTCAGGATTTATTTCTGAATCAACAAATGGTGAGTAAGGAGGCATTAAAATGTTGCCCAGTTGTGACATCCATACATTAACATTTAAGACCTCAATGAAAGTACTTAAGATCCATTTCATTCTCAAGACATTGGAAGAATCTCTATCTCACTGAATAATATACACATTAGCTGGTCCCCAAAACAGAAAGAGCCTCCGATGCCACGTATATTAGAATGGACATATTTTCAAAGCTAAAAAACTGAAATGCCTTTTTTTTTTAAGACAGAGTTTCGCTCTTATGGCCCAGGCTGGAGTGCAACAGTGCAGTCTTGGCTCACTGCAACCTCTGCCCACTGGGTTCAAGTGATTCTCCTGCCTCAGCCTCCCAAGTAGCTGGGATTACAGGTATGTGCCACCACGCCTGGCTAATTTTTATTTTTTTGTAGAGACAGGGTTTCTCCATGTTGGTCAGGCTGGTCTTGAACTTCCAACCTCAGGTGATCTGCCTGCCTCGGCCTCCCAAAGTGCTGGGATTACAGGCATGAGCCACTGCGCCCGGCCCGAGAGAGACATTCTTAAAAATGCAATTTGGGGCCGGGCACGGTGGCTCAAGCCTGTAAACCCAGCACTTTGGGAGGCCGAGGCGGGTGGATCATGAGGTCAAGAGATCGAGACCATCCTGGTCAACATGGTGAAACCCCGTCTCTACTAAAAATACAAAAAATTAGCTGGGCATGGTGGTGCGTGCCTGTAATCCCAGCTATTCGGGAGGCTGAGGCAGGAGAATTGCCTGAACCCAGGAGGCAGAGGTTGCAGTGAGCCGAGATTGCGCCATTGCACTCCAGCCTGGGTAACAAGAGTGAAACTCCGTCTCAAAAAAAAAAAAAAAAAAAAATGCAATTTGGATGCAGAAACATTGGCATTCTCAGAACACATCGAGTTTTTGGAATTGAAGCTGTCTCAGAAAGATCCATTTGAATAGGGTTCCACACGTATGAAGATGAATTGCATTAGCAAAGCATAATCAAATGTGTATGTTACGTTTTCCTATAGTATTTTATACATATTTACAAGTCCTTAAATGGATTTTTAAAATTGTTAAGGTGCTTCGTACACAGTAGGAGTACAAATATGACCATAATAGAAAATTGCAAATTTTTGCTCACCTCTTATACAAGGTTGTAAAAAGTTATTACAGATTAAAAGTCCACCAGCTTTTCTCCATCTTCACTGTGGTCAAAGTGATGGGAATGGAGCATCAGCAAATTGTAGTGGAGAGAAATTAGAACTAAGATGGCTGGGATGGGGGTTGCAGGGCTGAGAAGCCTTAGGACACATGACCAAAGGAAAAATGGTATAATAGTTTAGATGTTTTAAGAATGATAGGAGCTGCCCTTATAATGAGATTATTCTGGTGGAGCTTGGAAAACCCCATGGTGTCAGATTCTGGTCAACTCCTAAGTTTGGACTGAGTACCTGAGTCTCTAAATGCAGTGATGGATAATGTGGGGGGGATATATAACACAGTCTCTACTTTTCAGCAGCTTATAATCTGTGTATAGAGAAATCAAGGAGATGATCATTTGGACTGATCAGGGAAGGCTCCGTAAAGGGAAATGGGATTTCTGCTGGCCTAATAATGAATACATTTGGGATATACAGATTGGAGAGAAAGGCATTCCAAGTAATTGCGACTACAAAATCCAAAGACCCCTTTGGGGTCACTCTGAATCTAAAGCATGACATCAGAATCTTGGCTTCATTTAAATTACATTTAATGGGGAAGTGTAGTGGTCTAATGTTAAGAGATTATGTAAGAGGAATGAGGCATTTCATTTTTCTTACCATTTCGTGTCAGTCTCAATCAAATAAATTGCACTAAACTTAGGAAAACAGGCACCCTTGTTAAAAGAGGTTTTGGCCATTGTCAAGAAAGTAAATTAATTTTTTAAAACATAAAAGTGATGTGTTTCCTTTTTATGAGTATACAAGTGATATGACCATTTACCTATGGAGTTTCAAAATAAAAAATTAAAATGACAGAAAGGACACTCACAGAACACCAGGCATTCATTTCATAAACTGTGGGGAAAAGTATATTTTAACGATGCATTGTTAATACTTGCCTAAAGATTACTCTTACATATACACAGTGTGACTGCTTTTTGTTTTTTTAAATCAAAGCATTTGATTGTAGAGAAAGTGGCCAGCAAATGCCAGAAGAAATAAATTTCTATCAGGTAAAAAAGCATGAAGATGAGTGTCTAGAGAGAGTTGGAGGTGGCTGGGTTCCCCTGGCCCTGCTCTTTTTTAAGGACAGAGCAAAAATAACAATAATGTGAGACTACAGATACATCTGTTTCTGATTCATTTTCTTGGTCTTGTCCTAGCTAAAGTCATTTCTAGATCATGTGCTAGTCTTCAGAGAAGTTATGGAAGGAATTTACACAAAGGGCAAATACATAATTGAATACACATATAAAAACACATCAATAGAATGTGCATAAAGAACATGGAAAAATTCTGATTAGAAGGGAATTGATGGATCTTTCATTTTCTGATTTGTACTTCTCACTCCACAGCTGTGTTCAGCTACTCTTCTGATTTCAGTTTGTCAAAAGCCCATCCCTTGATCTATCTTCTTGGTTACCTACTGGAGTAACACTGGCATACTCTAAATCTAAAACCAGAGATGTACCTATACATTACTTATTCCTTATTTTCCTTCATATGTTAAGTTTTCTAGTGCTAAGCCTGTTATTTTTCATAAAGAATTGCTTCAGTAGGGTCCAAGATAGAATCTGCTAATGGCTAAGACATGATGTGTTAAATTTGGAAGAGTAATTTTGCAGTTTATGCTTAAAGAGAAATTCGAAACCACTTACATGTTTTCTAGTCATTGTTATTGCTTTATAAAAGCCATGCATATGCTTTCCAAGTAAGGTTTATTTTGCCCATTTTGAACTTTTCCATATATTAGTTTTTCAAAGCACTCAAAATAGAGATCAAGAACAATTGTGGCCTTTAATTCATTGTCTTCTACAGAGAAAAAAATCAGGTCAGATTAAACTCTTGAACTGTTAGAATTACTTTTGTTTTCCAAACTTCAGTTTTATAATTTTCTTTCAATTTGTAATCGCTTTCCTAAGATCATGCCTTTTTACTTTAGATAGCTAAAACATCAGTTTACTAAATACTTGCCTTAGCACTGACCTTTGTGGTTACTTTGTTGAAAATTGTGCTGTAACTTGACACAGTATTAACTACTTCTGATTACTAATCTGGATGTTTGATAATATCTACCTTTCACGAAAGGAAGACAGTTCAGACACATAATTTGACAAAATTAGGAAACAGCAACATCAGTTCTATGAACATGGGAAAAAATCTGAACAGAGTTGACATTTCTGCCTGGTGTTAGACAGTGTTCTTTAAAGACCACAGACAACATGCACAAATGTAGGCGGAAACAATACATCTGCAGATACTGGCAGACGGCATTACCCTCCAAATTTGGCCAGTTTCTTAAGATAAATAACTTTTCAGTGACGTGCAGGGCTGAAATTACATAAACAACAGAAAATTACTAAGACTTAAGTCTACGAGTTTTGTGGGTTTCAAGATTTTATGCAATCAATATTCTGACATCTGTAACACTATTTGGTCCCTAAAATGCTGATGCCAGAAACAGTAAGATATTAATGTTTTACTTGATGACTTTTGTTTAAATCTTGAAATAAACTATGATTAATTCTCTGGAATAACCATTATTGAGCCACATTTTTATTTAGGTCATTAAGACAACTATAATCATCTCCTTATAAGGAAAAGTTTCATTAAAAATGCTAGAGAGCTCAGCCTCTTTAAAAAACCAATACTTGCAGCTTGTTATACTAATAGTCCTAAATGTCTAAGGCTTATTAAATGAAAATACCCATAACAGTTTTATCGAGCCTGAGCACTAAGAATTTTAAAAACTGACAATGGAAAATAGCTGAATATTCTGGAAACTTCCGTAAGAGGAAATGGCATTATCTAGTTACCTTCTTAGTCTATCCCTAAAAATGACTATTTTGCCTAATAGTCATTAGAGACATCTCCCATTATAAAATGGTCTTTAGAAGGCTTAAAAACCTGAAAAGTATGCAAATAGAGGCTCCCTGCTAATTCTGATTTAGCACATTGGGAATATTTGTCCAAAATTGAGGTAATATTCTTCAGTGGGACTGAAAATCCCTGATAACTAATTTGTAACATTAGATATCTTTAAAAATACTAGCTCCCCTTTACTTCCCCTGATTATCAACCACATTCTGTGCTGTTAATGGAAAGTTAAAACACCAGCTCTAAATAAACTTTGTTAGAGAATGTCTCCCTATCTACCCTTTTGGTAAATTTTTCTTCCTCTTAATTTCTGAGTATATGTTAACCTGACTGTTTTGTTAACATACTACTAGCTCACCAACTGCTGAAGAAATCTCATCATTCACCCATAAAGAAAAAATTATTCCCAGTGGTCAATTAAAAAAAAAAAGCTATCATTTTTCAAATAAGTAGTCTGACATAAAAAAATATAAAAGGATAACTTTATTAAATATACAAATTCAACGGCATTCAATTTTTAAAAACAGATTATGGCATAAGAGCAGATGAATGGTAATGGTTTATATAGATATATCCTATATTTACCAAATAGGTTAGGTACATATACTGACCTATCAGTTCTCAAAATAACAAAATGAATGTATGTCTCTAAACTACATCTGTATTCTATGACTACTAAACAGGAAATATGTCAGCTGACCCACCCACCAGACTTTTTCCCATTGGAAGTTTGATACACTGTCACTGATATATGTCATTTCTGAATATACACCTCTATCTTGGGTTCTTTTCTACTTTGCCTACTTCATTATCTCTCTTCCCAACCCACCTAAGACTTAGTCAAAACTGGATATAGAGATCTGGATGGCTCTAGGCAGAGGAAAAAATCTCCAACAATATTATCAACTCTATCCACTTTTCCTTTCAGCACCTACCTAGTTATATCTAAGATGGTGTGAAAAAACATATAATTCAAAAAAGAAAAGCATCTGGACTATCAATCTTCACCTTGGTCCTGCAGCTTCCCTTTATCAACCAGTGTATGTATTATTTTACATTCCCAACTGTAAACACATGCAATATTTAATAAAACATCCAGAAACTTTGTGGTCAGCACCATATAATTTCTGAGGAAAATGTTTTAAGTAGGGGCAGAGAAGAAGAAAAATCAAGAGAAGCCATTGAGAAAAAATGGCCAGTCACACTAAAATGCTTTCATAAAATATGTTTTAAAAATGGATAAATTCAATTTTAAGTGATATTTTGTCCTTGACCAACATTTCCTCGTTTTAGTGTTCATAAAAGGCATAAAATGTACCTCTAGAAAGGAAATTATTTTCTTTACTTACAAAATTGTTAGAGCATCAGCACCAGGTTGAGCTTTCCCAAAGTATACATAGCTCGTAACTCTAAACAACCTATAAATTCTTTTGATTCATTTTAATCCTCATCACATCCATTAATTTTAATTAATTAAAACTAAAACTGCTACTTTTTCTGCATATGTCAGTGAAAGGTAACTAGGGAAACTAAAAATGTGACCTAACAGGAACCCACCTAAAATCTACTTAGGTGGGTTTAACTCAAAGAAGATCATGTTAGTCCCAAGAACTATCCCAGGAATTTTAAGTAATCTTAACTATATTTTAGAATGTGCCACCAAACACTACAATGTTAAAATAAATTACTCATCCTGTTGTGGTCTCTAAACAAGAACTTATGGCTCTTACCAAGTATTCTTTTTTATTTTACCCCTAAACTGTCAACTTTAATTGAAGACCCATCATCACAAGCTCATATCTTTAAAAAATGGATGCAACAAAGCTTCTTCTGCTGTTATTCTTGAAGCTGGATTTAGATCTAGAAGTTTATCAAGCAGATCGTAAGCTTCATCAGGTACATCATTCCAGCCTTCTAAATTGGTAGTATACTCATCAAAACAACGTTCACAGCTATTATTGTCCCCCTTTTTAAATGAATTCCCTGAGTATTGTCCTGGAGATGTCTGTATGAGGTGAGAAGCTTTACGGTCAGTCTCCTCTGAAAAAGTTGGTTGATGAGAACCAGGCCCTTGTAGTGCATCACTTGTTAACTTGGGAGTGTTAGAATCCATACCCCTGAGTCTCTCACAGAGTTTTCTCAAGTCTTGTGCTGGAACTTCTTTGCTACATAATACTGATTTGCCTAAAAGCAAAAGAAGAAAAAACAACAAAGGAAAAAACCATTTTATTATTTGAATATATGAGAAGCCTCTCTCATGAGGAACATGAAAGTCCAAACATATGCTTTATGGACACACACACACATGCGTGAGACAAGAGTAACACATGCTATATTTAAGTTGTATTTGAATTGCATAGTGGGAGATAAAGTGGGAGACAGTAAGTAAAAAGCAGTGATTTACGAGCTATGCCAGGCACTCGCTTGACTCTGCTAATTTGTCCAGCCTCAACATCATTCAATAATCTTTAGCTAGCTGCAGCTCCCACACCCCCACTCTACTTCCTTTCCAGGCTTCTATGCCTTTGACTACATGACTCCTGTCTTTGCCTAGGATGCCCTGCATGCCTTGTGTGTGCCCAGGACACTTTCACTGACATCACCATTCAGTTCAAGAATCACCTCTGAGGCCTGACACCCTCAGAGAAAGTTGACCAGTTTCAGCTTCTATCATATCTTGGGAGGAGTTCCATTATTACTTTTGCTATCCTATATGTGTCTGTCCACGTACTATACTGTGAGCTCTTTGAAGATAGGAACTGTCTTATTTATCTTTGAACTCCCAAAACCCAGGCCTATGCCTGGTACATATTACATGCTCAGTTAATGTCTGTTGGACTGGATAAAAAGGCATTATTGATTTCAACAACTCTGTTCAAATGACACATCCTTAGAGATGCTGTTCTTGACCAACCTATCCGAAATGAGCCTCCTCACTACATTTTTCCTTTCATCTTTCTCAGTACCACTCATTTCTCATAGTATTTGTGTTCTCTTCCTCACTAGAATTTAAGCTCTGTGAAAGCAGACTCGCACCAGTACCTGGCACACATAAAGCCCCAGTAAATATTTCTGAATGAACAAATAAACAGCATCACAGTTTTTAAAAATGTTTTTGAAATAACTTCCTGATGTGTTTATTATCAGATGTACAAAAATAAGTTAATCACACAAATGGCAATCTTGTATTATTTTTGCCTTGCATTTCCTTATTAAACAGAAATGTACTAAATATACTAAACAATAAGTACCACAACACTTAGATGCCTTTCTGGGAATGCTGATTGTCAACAAAGTCATTATTACCTTTACATTTTCTGAACTAACTATTGGATTGGTGTATTAAGCCAAGAAAAAAAATGGGCAGGGGGGAAGGAAACAAAAGGGAGAAGAGAGAAAACAGAAGAAACAAATTACCGAAAACAAAATTTGCTGAGGGTACAATATGCCAATCCTTTTTAACTTTTAAACTGATTCTATCATTCCTATTCTCTTTAGAAAATTATAGCCAGAGGGGAATACTCATATAGTTTTATTCCTTTATTAGCTTGTTCTGAAGTCATAAAATAATTAGTAGTTTATGTTATAGCATGTCACCAAGTTACACAATATGATTTTTTTGTATGACCAAAAAGAGGGTTCATTTAAAATATTCAGGAAAAATAACTTAAACTAATGCAATCAGTCAACTTATTTTGCTACAGACTATTATGTGTCAGGAATGTTTCAGCTCAAGACTTTTCTTTTTAATTTATTCAACACAATTCGCTGTGTACTTAATGACAACCCACAATGGAGCCAGGTCTAAGGGCTGAGGACAGTGGAGTAGGTTACAGATAAGAGAAGTAAAGGTGCTCTCACTGCTAATCTCAGCCAAGTAATTTCTTTAGGTTACAAAGGGGAACACAGTGGTGTTTGTTGAAATTTTGAGGCTTTTATACTCACTCCAAAGTTACAGTAAGATCTGACTAAAATAACTACAGATGTTATACTAATAGAACTAAGACTAGTGCTATGGCATTATTTGAGATGGAGTCTCGCTCTGTCGCCAGGCTGGAGTGTAGTGGCGTGATCTCGGCTCATTGCAACCTCTGCCTCCTGGGTTCAAGCGATTCTCCCAACTCAGCCTCCTAAGTAGCTGAGACCACAAATGCATGCCACCATGCCCGGTAAATTTTTGTATTTTTAGTAGAGATGGGTTTCACCATGTTGACCAGGATGGTCTCAATCTCCTGACCTCATGAACCACCCGCCTCGGCCTACCGAAGTGCCAGGATTACAGGCATGAGCCACTGTGCCCAGCCCTATTTTTTTTTTAACATATGAAAACAAGTATTACAATGATAAATCTCTAAAAGCTCTTGCTTGCTGTCATGGTACTTGATCTGGAGTATTTTTGTGTCAGATGTTGTACTTCCATTGTTGGCCCTGATTATAACTTGGTTTACCAAATGGGAGAGATTCAAGCTCTTCAATAAAATATTTTGGTGTTGGCTGATAGACTTCATGTTCATAAACGTCTCACAAAGTTAGTTAATAGTAGATGAAAGTTTTCTCAGTTGAGAATAAACAAACTTGTTATGATTATTATTATATAAGAATACCATTTCTAAGATATCAATCTTGCTTTCCATTCATGGTTACTTTTCCCTTGTATGTCCTACAATAGGTACAAGATAGTTAAAAACTGTGGACTGACTTGGCTGTAGAAGAATATTTTGGCAAGCTTCTATTATCATGAGGCTTTCTTCACAACCACCACTAAGTTTTTCTTGTATATTAGATCATAGCACTGATGCCTAGGCAAGGGTAGTAATTTTTGCAGTGGTTCTTAAAACACCAGTAGTTTCTTAGTCAAAATCACTTGTTTTTTTTTTCAAACTAACAAGACTGGAGCCTTCGTAAGTATCTTACTTTTCTGAATCATATTTTCCAAGAATGGATAGAGGGGCAGGCATATGTATTTCTTAAAGATTCGCAGATAATTCTAACATGCAAACCCCAGTTAAGACACAATGATCCTGGGGCTGAGCACAAGGCAGCCTCGCTACTCTGGAGGTAGGCTGGCTGAAACTTTGTCCCCTGAGGTGTTCCATATTGTGTGGTAGTAAGCTGACTCAATCATACTTTTTCCTTGGGAAAGTATTAACTATAATTGAGCTTGGAAAATAAACATTAAATGGACATTTGAGTTCAGGTTGTTGGCCAGAGCAAGGCTGAGATAATTCTCACATGCCCTATGAAGTACACTGCATCTCCCAGTCTTGAAGAACTTGCATGGCTGAGTTGACATCCATGTCCAATATATGCTTACAATAATATTCCATCAATTGACACCTTCTATGCATTTTGCTTCTCTGCTACCCTAAATCCACACAACCTGACAACACACATTTCCATTCTCTTCCCCAGTCCTTATTACACTATATTAACAATTAACTGTTTACTTGTTAGTATAGCCTATGATCATTTAAGGCAAGGACACTCTAGGTACCAAGACGTAGTGCATCTGATGCTTAAAATACAATAAAAAAGTAAAACATATTATTAAAGATATTTATGTAACGAAAGTGAAACCATAACTAAAAGGAGTTAAGATTTTACTCTTTATTCTTTTAATATTACAAAGGCAAACTTTAAATATTGCAATAATGTATTACTTTGTGTTTAAAAAGATTAAATGATTATATGTATAGAGGAGAGGTGATGATAAATTTATTTTTAAGCAATTGAAGAATTTTCTACTTAATATTAGAACTTTATCAAGACTGAATGTTTATTTGTAAAGAGAGTTTCATAATAATTTATTAAGCAATTTGTAGGAGATAATCAAAGGCATTTGTTTTGTTCTGTAACACAAAACTGCTTACCAAAAGTTTTAGCAGCTTGGATAGTTTCTCTGGATCCCCGAATTGTCATAATTTGGGCCAAAGCAGTTAAATCATCACTTGCTTTATAAAATGGATATCGTCCACTAAGCAAAGAAAGAAATATGACACCTGCAGACCACATGTCGATTGCTGTAACAGAAGATAAATTTTAAAAATAAATTTCAAATATATAATTTTATTATCTAAATCAATAGTTCTCAACATTTACTATGCATTAGAATCATCTTGGGAGCCTTAAAAAATTCAGATGCTCAGACCCAGAGATTTTGATTGCACAGTTCTGAAGCAGTTCAATGTTTTAAAAAAGTTCCTCAGGTGATTTTAATATATAACCAGGATTAAGAATCCTCTCTGCAAAATATAATGTTTCCTTCTAGAGCAACATTTGGTACATTTAAAAGGATATTTAGTCATTAGGAAACACTAAGTAAATGTACATTTTATAAGATCAAATGGAATCAAAAAATAGCTATGTGGGAAAAAATCCAGATGATCCTCGAGTATGACATACCATACCGGTCAAAGGGCTTTCATTTTAGTGAAAAGTAATGAACATTAGAAGGTCTTCTTCAGCGGACACTAGCACTAACTACTGCTCTAGAAACTTTTAAAAAGTTATATTTTTGTACAGTTGTGAAGACTAATTTTTGTGAGTACAGAGTAGATGTATTTATTGATAAGGCATATGAGATGTTTTGATACAGGCATGCAATGTGTAATAATCACATCCTGAAAATAGAGTATCCATTCCCTCAAGCATTTATCCTTTGTGTTACAAACAATTCAATTATCTTCTCTTTTTTGAGACAGGGTCTCGCTCTGTTGCCCAGGCTAGAGTGCAGTGGAGCCGTCTCAGCTCACTGCAACCTCTGCCTCCCAGGTTCAAGCAATTCTCGTGCTTCAGCCTCTTGAGTAGCTGGGATTATAGGTACGCGTCATCATGACCAGCTAATTTTGTTTTTCTTTTTGTAGTTTTAGTAGAGACAGGGTTTTGCCATGTTGGCCAGGCTGGTCTCAAGCTCCTGGGCTCAAGTGATCTGCCTGCCTCGGCTTCTCAAAGTGCTTTTAGTTATTTTAAAATGTACAATTAAATTATGATTGACTATAGTCCCCCTGTTGTGCTATCAGATACTATGTCTTATTCAACCTTTTTTTTGAGATGAGGTCTGGCTCTGTTGCCCAGGTTAAAGTGTGGTGGTGTGATCTCAGCTCACTGCAACCTCCGTCTCCCAGGCTCAAGTGATCCTCCCACTTCAGCCTCCTGAGTAGCTGGGACCACAAGTGTACAAGCTACTTTTTTGTATTTTTGGTAGAAATAGGGGTCTACCATGTTGCCCAGGCTGGTCTCGAGCTCCTGAGCTCAAGCAATCCACCTGCCTTGGTCTCCCAAAGTGCTAGGTTATTCATTCTTTATAACTAGTTTTTGTACCCGTTAGCCATCCCCACATCCCCCACACCCTGCCACTACCCTTCTCAGCCTCTGGTAACCGTCTGTCCCCTCTCTATGGGTTGAACTGTTTTGATTTTTAGATCCCCCAAATAAGTGAGAACATGCAATGCTTGTCTTTTGGTGCCTGGCTTATTCCACTTAACATAATGATCTCTAGCTCCATCCATGTTGTTACAAATGACAAGATCTTTTTCATGGCTGAATAGTACTCCATTGTGTATAAGTACATTTTGTTTATCCATTTATCTGTTGGTGGACACTTAGGTAGCTTCCGAATTCTGGCTATTATGAATAGGGCTACAACAAACATGGGAGTGCAGATACCTCTTTGGTACATTGATATCCTTTCTTTTGGGTATATACCCAGCAATGGAATTGATGGATCATGTAGTAGCTCTATTTTTTAGTTTTCTGAGGAACATCCAAACTGTTTTCCATAGTGGTTGTGCTAATTTACATTCCCACTATAGGAAGTTTAATCTTCTGACTTCTGGCAGTTAAAGATTATGACTAGCTCAACTTCTTGTTAAAGAGTTCCTTGTTTTTTCTTTTAAGTACGTCTTTTCTAATTGTTGACCTCCTAGTATCACCAGGTTATATGCTCTCTATTCCTTTGGCTACTGTATCACTTGCCTGCCTTCCTTTATTTTCCTTTCTCTCTCTCTCTTTGAGATGAGATGAAGTTTTGCTTTTGTTGCCCAGGCTGGAGTGCAATGGTGGGATCTCAGCTCACCACAACCTCTGCCTCCTGGGTTCAAGCGATTCTTCTGCCTCAGCCTCCCAAGTAGCTGGGATTACAGGTGTGCACCACTAACACCCGGCTAATTTTTGTATTTTTAGTAGAGAAGGGGTTTCACCACATTGGCCAGGCTGGTCTTAAACTTCTGACCTCAGGTGATCCGCCCATCTCAGCCTCCAAAAGTGCTGGGATTACAGCATGAGAAACTGCACCCGGCCAAAATTAAACTTTTTTAGTTTCCTGTATGCTGTTTCTTGAGTTTCTTGGCTCATGCCTCTATGCTAACTTCCCAGCCCAATTTACATTCTAAGACGTCATTTCTTTCATGAATTTCCTTCCATAATCTGTTTGGGTTAGGATAGTTCGATATTCCTTAAATACCTTGTATAAGTTTTATTACCATACTCAACAAGTTACTTTGTAATTATCTGATGGTGTGCCTTGACTAGTGTGAACAGATGATCTCATTTGTTTGTTTATTTTATCATTAGCAAGCAAGAACAGACATACAATGAATGAATGCATTTCTTCAAAGCCCAGAACTCAAGTGAATAGCAGGATTCATCTATTCATTCAAGATGTTTCCTGGATCCCAGCTCCATGATAACTTTGTAGATTGTGGAACACTTTTTTCTTTTTCAAAACCTAATTGGTATTATATTGTTTATATAATAACAAAAATTTTAATCAAGCACAATTGTATCTACATCACAGGAAACTTTTGTGGTATTAAGCAAGCAAATAAAATGCTTTAAGTCTCTGGCTGGCAAAAACTATTAAACATAATTTTTCCCCCACAAAGGTGATATCAACAAAATTCCACAGATTACATTTTACATATTTGTTTATAAGATGGGAAGATCATCTTGTAAATAAATATGTGAAATGTAATCTATGGAAAAAAACTGTTAAAAAACAGGCAAAATTGAGATTAAAAACTTTCATAAACAATAGCATTAGTTCAAAAATAGGAATGCCACACTGCTAGAACTGCTTACGTAACTTAATTAAAAGCAGAAGAGCTCAAATATTACTTATAAATAGGCAGAGATCATAAAATAAAATGGACTGGGACAATCCATTTTAATTGGGTTCTGTATTTCCAGTACAACATACCTGTAGTTTGATTGGGGCACTTTGTCAAGACCTCTGGTGCTCTGAATCCAGGTGTACCTGCCCTAGGGGCAACCTGCTGACGCCTTATGATGAAATAAGATTTCTCTAGTTATGTTAAAGTTGAACTATTTAAGTCTAAAAAATAACATTCATCAATTTAGTTCAGCGTAAATTTTGCCTTGCTAACTATATAATAAGTATTACTATAAAGTGATAATTTAGTGTGATAAAAATTCTAGGTTTTGCTTCTACTGTTTTTTACACCCTCTATTAAGTCCCCAGACTTATTGCAGAAAGGTTTTAAAATAACTTCCAAGAATAAAAAGTATCAGTAGATAATAAGAGCCGTAATAGAAAAATAGAACCCAATACAATTTGCAGGTATAAAAATTCATTTCCATTTGGGGTAACTGATCACAGATATATATTTGAGTTAATCAGGAAAGGCTTTATGAAAGCCAAGTGTTGAAGGAAAGGGAGAAGTTTATGAGTCAAAGAGATGGGGGTCGGAGTAAGAGAGGAGCTCTACTGTTTGGTTCTGGTTACCCCACATAAGTGAGAATAAGAGAGAAAACAGGAAAGATCACATCAGCAAGCAAAATGTGTGATTCTAAGCTTCTAAAAAAGCCACTCCCTCCCAATTATCTGCATATAAGAGCAAATGTGCTTTCCAGAGTATATCCATATTAAATGAATAATACATGAAAACTGTTTATCATTTGCTCTTCAAGATACTACTGTTCTGCATCAAGGCCCACTGTAGTTCACTGATCTGTGTTGATCTCCTGCACTCACTAAATCAATTATCTGCCCAAATCAATGCAATTTCTAATCTTGTCTGGCAGCATGCTGGTGATTTTATAACACCATCAAAACACATTACCTTGAAAGGCAAATACTACAAACTTTATCTGTTGCATAGCAGTCACAGGTCAGGCTAGCTGGGCAAGAAATGGCAGTTTTCCTCATTACACCACTATTCGTAACTTTTGTAGAAATGGCCTTCTTTTTTGTTGCTAACTTTCTAGACAGTACATCCACAGTCTTTGACTGCTTCATGAGCTGTAAAAGAAAAGTCTTATTTTTCTATCTTTATGACATTTAACATGATGTCCTAAAATGCTAGCATGGCAAAAAGCAATAGCGGAAGCATAACTTTAAAAACTGCTGAATGGCTACTGGACTGCAAATAAACAGTTGTCTATTAAACAGCTGTCTATTAAAATGTTTAAGTTCTTCTTGGGTTTTTTTCTGTAAAGTCGCCTTATATTAAAATTTACTAATTAGTCCTAGCTTGGCCAACATTTTACTTATACTTACTTTATTAGAACTTTTCCTGATATATTGCGAAAATATAAAACAGTATGTTCTAGTGTCTAACTCCATTTCAGAACTGTAAACTGCACAAGTACATTGGCTAAAATCACAGTTTTAATTTGCTGCTCATGCTGTCTACCTATCAGATATCATAAGTCAATCTGAAATCATCTACGTAGTTGACAATTTTGTTAAACTTTACAAACATCTTTACACTAACAACTATGTGTCAGAAGAATTAGCTAGATGTAGGGAGCTCACACTCTAGCAATGACAGAAAAGCCCTTAATGTTCTAAATGTTCCTCTAGAGAAAGAGCAGTAATAGGTGACCAAAAATGAGGAAAAATTCCACCAGAAAAGTTCAGAAAAAAACTGGAGAAAACAAGTTTTGACTAACTGCTCACAGCAGCGATACCTTCTGCCAAAGCCAAACTCTACTTTAAAAAAATTTCTGATAATAAATGTTAATCTAGTTATTACCTAAAATTCTCTTCAGTGTATGACTGACTGACCATTGCACTATTAAGCTACATTACTTACTTTCACTGCAGGGCTCTCATGTGAAATGGAGCTGTGTATATTGAAATTTCTTTCTCCAAAAACAGAGCGCTGGACAAAAAGGCCTACAGATCCCTCCTACAATACCAACAAAAACAAGGAAAATAAGGATTATATCTGTAACACTTTCTGCCAGCTGTACTCTGCCATAGTTTTGAAAGAGTTAAATGAGATGAAACAAAAACAGCTGCATCCAAGTCATTCTCAGGCACCAAACCACTTCTGTGAAAGGAGAAAATAGTCTAGACAGAACTCAACACCCATACAATGTTATCATAGTCCATAAATATATATAACTAAAAAAAATTCAAAAACCACCTGCATGGATGTTACATTTTGCTGTGCAGCTAAAATGGAGATAGACACTTCAGACTTTCTCCCCTAAAACTAATCCTTTCTTTTAAAAAGGATAATTACTATGAACTTTTTAACATGCAGGGAAAATGTAATCTTTTCCATTTTTGTCATAAAATATAGTTTCATAATAGTTAATGTTAGATATTATAAACTGACAAAGTAAATTTTAGTTTTAAAATGGTAAGCAAAATGATTCAGTACAAATCAGTGAAAATTTAATCAATACATATAACAAATGTAAAAAAAGGTGTTTTAAATTACAATTAGTATCCTAGTATTTTATCTCCCTCTGTTGGTTGAAGGAGTACATTTCTAAAACAGAGTCAGTACTTAACAAATAAAAGAGAGAGAACCTTTCCATCTTTTCCTTGTTTAATCTGAATTTGTGCATTTGTGTAGGGTCTTTTAACAGAAGCTTTTGTGGTGGACTGCTGATCCAGCTCCTTAGGTACAGGGCCACTCAATGGAATCTTGTTTCCCGTTATTACATGGGATTTGTTTTGTGAACACCTTTCCTGCTGAGCTTCAGACTGGACAAATTTGAGAAGCTCTATTTTCGTATCATGGGTTCCTTGGGCCAAGCCAAAGTCTACCAAGGCATACCTAAGAGACAAAATTAAGCATTTTTACTTATCTGTAACAATTAAAGCTTAGTAACATTGTAATACTCTTAAGCCATCCTCATAAAAACTGTAATTTTTGGGGGGAGGAATTTATAGCATCAGGAAAAAAGAAAAAAATTAAATTTTCCAGACAAAGTAAGAATTTAATAGCTAACTAGGATTTAAAATTAAGATGTATCCCACAATCAATCAAAATTTCTTTTTCCAATGGTCTGTGTTAATAAGGCAGAAGAGGAATACATAACATAAACACAATCCTTTGTTCTGATGGTGGCAGAGATGGCATCATAATATCATTTCTAGTTAAGCAAGTTTAAAAAAATTTAAATCATGGTTTTAAAATCTGATTTTATTAAAGAAAATTAAAAAGTCAGGGTTATAAAACCCCAAGAAAGAAGTTAGTTATAATCTTACTCCGTACAATACAAACCATTATATAAATAAATAGAGGTATTTATGCTATTTTCAGCTTATAATTTCTCTATAATTATAATCAGCATTAAAAAAGTATACATTAAAATAAAACCTTTGTGTTAAAACAGGAAATTGGCTATCATGTGGTCCAATCCCCTCACTTACTAGAAAAGAAAAATGAAGTCCAGAGATAAGAGACTTGTCTAAGGTCAAAAATTACTATATTCTTTCTAAGTCTCTTAGTTCAGTGCTATTTCCCCTGAACCATGGTACATCTAATAATGTATCTTGTTCCACGAATACAATTTTAATTATCTTCTTTACCACATTTCCCTTCCCCATCACAATGAAACTTTGAAACAGAAATAATGTGTATGGCTGTTGTAGTATGTTATGTTAAGTCTAAGAGATACCGGTCAGAGGATACAAAGTAGCAGATATGTAGGATAAATAAATCTAGACCTAATGCACACTCTGAAGACTACAGGTAATAAAACTGTACTGTATATGGAATTCATGCTAAATGAGTACATTGTAGCTGCTCTTGCCATAAAAACAAAAACAAAATGGATAACATAAATATTTACTTCACAATAGTAACTTTTTTACTATCTTTTTACTTTTTTACTAACATCATATTCAGTACCTTAAAATAGGCATTAACATTTTTTTTAAAAAAAGAGAAACAGAGTAAATATTTTCTGGTAACTCTTCATACTTACTTTTTCAAGCGCCTATTATATAAAAAATTGCTGGGCTTAACATCACGGTGAACAATACCAAACTGGTGGATGCGCTTCAAAGCTTTGAACAGATTAAACATATATTCCCGTACTTCTTGAAAGGAAAGAGAATTCAAAATGTCCTAAAATATTAAGTAATGAATGAAATGAGTTATAAATATTGCCTGCAGTTAAATATTTAGCTAATAAAAAGTCAAGTAATATTAAAACCTACCAAAAACGACTCATGCTCGAGATAGGGCATAGCAATAACGACATGATCATTCTTCCTAAAGCAGTATTTAACTCCCATGACATTATCTTGCCCCCTAGTGGAAAAAGGCACAATGAACTTTTAGAGGTAAGGTCAGAGGAACTGAAACATATGCCTAAACAATATAATTTTAGCAATGCATACATACTGGTAGAAAATTGACTTAAAATTCATCATCACATAATATAAACACAAGTGACTTGTGTTCTTGTGTTAAAGTTTTCTTTTAAAACAAAAATAGCACCAGTTTTGAGGTTACTATAATAATTCAAATTAAGTAATTTATAGTTTTAACTGGGGAAGTAGCAGAGTGAGAAAAAAGGGAAAAGATGAATAAGAACAAATTAGTAAGACTTAGCAGATAAGATGGTAACAGTAATAAATAAAGGTCACTAAACTAATAGAGCCAGGATTTGAACTCAGGCATTTTGCTCCAGATATATGCTCTTAATCACTATGCCACACTGCTTCATAAAAGAGGAAAACAGAACAAAGGTGATTTCCATGATTTTGAACCTAAGTAAGAAAACAATAGAGATATCAACAAAATAAATAGAGAAATCAGTAAAAAGAAGCATCTAAAATCAGACCTCATCATTTTGATAGAGATATCTAGATAAAGGACAAACCTTAAGTGAGAAAAGAATGAGAAGTCAGTGAGAGTATTTGAAGAGAAGTGATACCTAGAGATATGAAAACTAATAGAAAGAAAACTAAGCTTGGAAGAAGACAAGTTAGAGAGCAAAATAAGAAAGGAATTTTGAAGGAAGAGTTATCAGCATGGAAGTCAAAGAGAATAACAACTGAGGGAAGGTTTTTAGTTTGGCAAAGAGTAATAACTGGTAATTTTTCAGGGAGCAATTTAAGTGGCAAGGAAGAAACTGAAGAAAAATGTAACACAGTGGAAGGTGAGCCTAAAGACAATTTGCCTGACTGCATTGTCAGATCACAGGAAGGCATTTTTAGCATGTACTTTTTTGAAGCACAGAGAAAGAAAAAGTGGTAGAGGGAGAGGGTTAAAGTATGGAAAAAGGATTGATCACATTTAGGGTATAAGAACATATGCAAGCATTCTTTACAGAGGCCATTTCATTTTCTTGTCTTCTATAATATGCAGATGAAACAAACAGGGTTACTTATTCATTCAATATTGAGTGGGCACTGTTACTTGCTGTTAGGGGTGATAGACATTAGTGATACAATGGTGAATAAAATTTACACAATTTTTGGCCTCATGGAGTTTACTACCTAGTGACAATACAGATAATAACAAGGTAATTTATAATGACAGATTATGGTAAGGGCTTTGAAAGAAGTCAAAAGACGATGTGACAACAACAAAAAAATAGGAGAATCTAACTTAAGTCAGAGAAGACATCTTTCAAGCAGTGCTACTCTTTTTTTTCTCCTTAGAGACAAGGTCTCGTTTTGTTGACCAGGCTAGATGGAGTGCAGTAGTGTGATCACAGGTCGCTGCAGCCTCGAACTCCTGGGTGCAAGTGATCCTCCTACCTCAGCCTCCCGAGTAGCTGGGACTACAGGTGTGTGCCAGCATGCCTGGCTAACTTTTAAGTTTTTTGTACAGATGGGATCTTATTATGTTGCCCAGGCAGGTCTCAAGCTCCTAGCCTCAAATAATCCTTCCAAAGTGCTGGGATTACAAGCATGAGCTACTGCGCCTAGTTTCACTCTTGCTCAGATCAGAAGAGGAAAGGTCAGCAGGCAAAGACTGGGAGAAGTCTTCCCAAATGAGGAAACAGTCTGGGCAGTGGCCCTGAGGTAAGAAAGCTATTGAAACAAATCTGAGAAACTAGAGAAATGGAGCACAGTGAGGGAGGTGGGAAGATGGGCATAAGAAGGTTGAATTTTTTTTCAAACTACACATTGAAACACCATTGAAAGATTTTTAAGTGGTGGAATTAATGACCCAATTTAAGTTAGACACATAAGTATTTTATATTTTAAAGATCATTCTGGCTGCTGTGTGAAGACAGAATTAAGGGGAGAAAGAAGAAGCAGGCTACAGTAGTAGTCTACGCTTCAGCTGAGGTAGTGGCAGAGAAGATAGAAAGACATGGATGAAGTTCTAGATACATTTTAGAGGCAAAACAGCTAGGACTTAGTGATTAATGTGGTTTAGGAGAGAAACAGAGAAAATGAGGATGATTTCTAGGTTTCTCGCCTGAACAAGTGTGTAGATTGGGCCATCTGCAGAGACAGGTAGATAAAATATTTTCTGTGGTGGGTTTTTTTTTTTGGCATGTTAAGGTTTAGTTTTAGCATATTAGGTTTGAGTATTTATCAGGCACCAAGTGGAAATGTTAAATAGGCAGGTGGATATATACAAACCTGTAGTTAAGATAAAAGGTCTGAGATTAACTATATACTTTTGGGAATCATTACTTTACACCAAGTGGAAATGGAGAACACTAAAGCGAATACAGAGAAACCCAAGAGCGAGCATGAGGAACTCCAACATGTAGGGGTCAGGTAGAAAGGGAAGAGCTGGCAGACATTGAAAATGAAAAGCCAAATGAGGGAAGAAGAAAGCAAGGAGGGTACGGCAGTACCAAAGTCAAAACAAGGGTTCAAGTCAATTGTGTTAAATGATGCTTAGAGTAATGGTTGACTCTATAGTTTCCAGTTTAGTATAGAGGAGAGCAGCCGCAATGAGTATTTAGTGAAAGGGAGGTGTGGAATGAAAACAATGTATGTAAATAATTTTTGAGAAGTCTGGCTATAAAGGGGAGCAAAGAAATGATGGAGCATGTGGAAGAAGGAGGGCAGTTTAGGAGGATGAGATACTAGATCATGTCCATATGTTGACAGAAATGACCTAGCAGAGAGAAACCATATCAGATGATTCTGTTATTCTAAATAAAGTATTAGATGAGGTTGTCAATAGCTGGGGAAATGTGAAATATGAGTTCCCTACATTTACAAAATAATGTAAATCATGAAAGCCAAGGTTTATGATTTAGCAGGAAGGTTACAAAAAGCAGTGATAAAAGACAGGAAATCAAGCTGAGCCTCAAGGGAAATCCAATCTGAAAGAAGTACTATAAATTTAACCATTGCGAGGTTAGAAAGAAAGTGCTAGCAAATTGCAAACACTTGACTGAAAAAGGCATTTAATTCACATATAATTTCATCATCCCTGCTAAGTATCTATTTTAAAATCTTATAAATTATATACAAGTTCAATTAAAATGTTTAAATTGCCTACCCAGCCACTGTTAGGCACTGAAGTTCGGCTGCAATTCTTATAGGATGACTTGTTGGAATCAAGTGTTTGAGAGCAATTTTCTCTTCAGGTCCTACTTGTAACTGTGCTGTGGCCAAATAAACAGAGCTGAAAGTGCCTGTAAAACGATTTATTAGATTTTCAATATCTGGTTTTTAAAAATGTTAATGAAACAATTCTAAGATAGATTGTAAAAACTGTTTCAATGGCATAATAGATTAAAACAGGACTTCATTTTACTGTAAATGTCTATTATTTATTCTTTCTTTGAGGTTGAAAAAGTTGTCATCATAATTGGTAATAAAACCATGGTCTTAATAATCTAAAAAGCGGTACATATTTTTAATAAGAAATAGTAACGAAAACCAAGATTACAAAAGGAAAACAGGAGGGAAAACAACCTTGTAAAAATAGTAAAGCATATTACCTTCTCCAATTTTGTCCTTAATCTTAAACACATTACTAAGCTGTGGTACAGCTTCATAAAGCTTCTCAATATCTTTTTTAACACCTTTCAAGGAAACAAAAATTTAAAGTTTTAATCAATGACAGTATATTTTATAGTTTCTTAAAATTTAAAAAGCTCAATGAAATAAATTCTAAAATATGAATAATTAATTATAAATAAGTTTTAATAAAATTGTGATAAGATTAAACCCCTATCAAGTTGCTATAACTCACACACACACCTCTTGAACCAATAGACAAAAAGAATAGTCTCAGAATTAAATACACCAAATTTCTACTATACTGAAATTATATACTAATAGATACATTGTTACTGTATAAATTACACCACGATAAAGCAGCTAAATTTTTAAAATAACTAAACAATTTGTGCTGTGATCACTAGATGGCATGCCAAGGACACAATGTGATGCTCTTGAAAACTATTTCCCGTAAAGACAAAATCTTAAAAGCTTGGTGAAATTTTATGTTTTGAATATTCACACTATATTTTCAGAGAGAAGGCCTACTAAAGCTCTCAAGCATATAAAAAAAATTTTTTTTAATTTGTCCCAATTGCCAGTAGTATCCTTTATCCTTGACTGCAGATAAATTGCTACTTTTAAATAAATATCAGTTATTTATAAAAATGTACATGATTAAAATAAGAGAGGCAATAATAAAGACCCAGTAAACGACAGGATACAGAAGAGAACTACCCAAGGGTCTTCAGATTTTATTACAGTACCTAGGCTTTACTAGCCCTACATTGCATAGGTTTAAGACATTTTCAAAGTACTTGCACAAGCATTATCTTTACAGATCTTCCCAATAGTACTGTGAACTTGGTGGAACAGGAATTATTATCCTGATTTTTCAGATAAGGAAACTCAATTTAGGGAGGTTAAATCATTTGCTCACTTTCACAGAGGTGTTGCTAATGTCTGCAGAACTCATTCTTTTATTTTTATTATATATATTTTCTAGTTTTCTTTTTTTTGAAACAGTCTTGCTGTGTCACCCAGGCTGGAGTGCAGTGACGTAATCTTCACTCACTGTAACCTCTGCCTCCCAGGTTCAAGAAATTCTCAGCCTCGTGAGCAGCTGAAATTACAGGCGTGTGCTACCACACCCGGCTAATTTTTGTATTTTTAGTAGAGACAGGGTTTTACCATGTTGGCCAGGCTAGTCTCAAACTCCTGACCTCAAGTGATCGGCCTACCTCAGGCTCCCAAAGTGATGGGATTACAGGCGTGAGCCACCGCACCTGGCCAGAAATCATTCATTTAAACACTGTTTTAAAAAAAGCTCAGCAATGGGCATATTTAAAAAACTAATAAATTTGGTGCAGCCATTAGTCCAGTAGAGGAAACGTTCACTCTTAATACAAGGTGATACCTGTAATAAAAGAATGCATAAACTATTAGGTTGGGGAGGATTTCTGAAGGTGCTAGGAAGGCTTCAGTTGACAGCTAAGTTTTGTTCTGAACTATTAATCAAGCTGTGAAAGTGGAAGAAAACATTTTAGAAAAAATTAACTGTGTAAAGACAGGGAAAAAGAAAAAGAAAATAAGGCTTGGATGATTAGGGTGGGGGAGAGGGCTGAGAGACAATGACATACAATGTGGCCTGGGGTGGTAGCTCAGGCCTCTAATCTCAGCACTTTAGGAGACCAAAGGAAGAAGACTGCTTGAGGCCAGGTGTTTTGAGACCTATCTCTTAAAAAAAAAAAAATTAGCTGGGCTTTGTAATACATGCCTGTAGTCTCAGCTACTGAGACTGAGGCAGAAGGATACCTTGAGCCCAGGAGTTTGAGGCTACTAAAATATGATCGTGTCACTTTACTCCAGCCTGGGTGATAGGAGAGCAAAACCCATATCAAAAATAATAGTAATAATAATAATAAATAAATAAAAGAAATAGAATGTGGCTGAGGAAGAGAAGAGCAGAGAATGCAAATGAAAGCTATACAAAGTTTTTAAGCAGAAAAATGAAAAGTGAAGAACAGATGTGAAGGGGAGGAGGAACATTAACGGCTGGAGAATAAGGGGCCAGGTAGATCTACTCCTGTGTTCTTTCCACTATATCAACTTGTCTAAGGAAATGCAAAGAACTTATTTAAATCACTCTCACCTTCCCATGTATTTCATATGTGGACGGAGAACCTTCATGGATTTCAATGCAAGAGGCAACATAAATAGCAATTATGTGTACTACTTTAGAGATGGGGGCTTAAATTACAATCCCGGCTCCACTATTTACCAGCTAGTGACTTTCCTTGAAGACACAGCTTATCTCTGTGAACCTGCTTTCCCAACTATAGGAAAGGAGTAGTAATAATAGCCATGCTACTGAGATACTGTGAGGATTAAATGAAATAATATATAAAAGTAAAGCTTTTAATACAATGCCTGGCACACAATACATATTAAATAAATGACAATGGTAACTTATTGTTGTGGTTATTGTTATTTCTGTAGGGCTTCTCCTCTTATTAGGCCCTCTGTTTGAAATGCTTTTCCCTTATAACTTAGTGAACTAGCTCAATTGTCACAGCTTCCTCTGACATCCTACTTAAATTAGCATTCCGTCCATTGTCCTACTGCCTTCAGAGTACTTATCTACTATAACATTATCCTGTTTATTTATTTCTTCACTGTCTGACTCCTCCCACTAAAATATAAGCTCCATCAGTACAGGTTCCCTGTTTGTATAAATCATTGCAATTTATAGTCAGAACAGTGCCTGGCATATTTGTTGAATAAATGACTTATTACAGTCATTATGGGCATCCAGAGACAGCTGGAGCAAAAAGAGCAAAAGTTCAGAAGTCACAACAGAATGAAGACAAAGTATCAGCTATCTCACTATCAGCTATTACACCACTTCATCCAACTAAAACCAAGGCCTGAGAGAAAAGTTGGCTTTCTAGCAGTCATTATGACATTGCCATAGTCAATTACAACCTTTCTTAATGAGAGTCAATTCCAAGGAGCTTCAAGTTCCATAAAGTCACAGGAAAAGTACCATGAATGGGCACATGTTCAATTTGATACTACCTTTCTTTGACTCTAAGAGACAATTTTAACAACTCTGGAACTGGGATATATCTTAACAACTGTTGTCAGCCAGCATCAGAACTCAAAGAATAGGTGTCAGTGACTTAAAGAAAATTAGAGAAGCATTCCTTTAACCCCTAAGAGCTAAATGGTTGTAGGGAGGAGCAGTAGAGATGGTGAAGCAGTAACATGCAAGGCGAGCTCCAAAAATTGAGCTCTTGTTAAAAATCCATTAACACAAGGTGGGCAGATAACCTGAGGTCTGGCTAATACTGTGAAACTCTTGTTTCTACTAAAAATAAAAAAAAAAATAAAAAAAATAAAAAAAGTCCATTAACAATGGCTTTCTATTTTTTATTGGATTCTTCAAGAAATTCTGAATCACACTACTGTATATAGAACAATACTGTGAGGGAAAATCAGAATATTGATGCGTCTAAGTAAAAAAAGTAATTCTGAAGAGACAGACCTGAAATATTTTTTTATGTATGTACCGGAAATATGCAATTATTTGTCCAATTAGGTATAAATAACTCTTTCAATAAGTACAAAATTAAACCAAGTCTAGATGTTATCCTGTTAAAGCTAAGTCACCATGTCACTATTTCGCTCAAAACCTTTAATGATTTCACATCTCATTCCATTAGAACACGTCTTTACATTAGAACACGTCTTTACATCTGTCTGACTTCACTCCAATTACCTTCCCCATTCTAGCCACAGTGACGTCCTTGCTATTCTTGAATGCCAGGCACACTCCCATCTCAGGGCCTTTGTACTTGCTGTTTCCTTTGTTTGGAATGCTCTTCCCCAAATATCTGCGCAGCTCACTCCTCACCACTTTGAAGTCTTAGATCAAATGTTACAGAAGGCTCTGACCAACTATACTTACTAAAATTACAATCTTCTTCCCCAATACTTCCTATCTCCCTTTCCCTTTTGCATTTTCTTTGTAACACTAATCACTTTTGAACATAATATTTATTTCTTTTGTTTACTGTCTATCTCTGTCTACTGGATCGAGGGTGCTAATTTCTGTTTAATGTTTTGATTTATCCCTAGGCACCTAGAAAAGTATCTGTATATAATAGACAATAAATTTTCATCACATAAATGAAATGTTTTCATTATCTTATCATGGAATAAAACTGACACTCTAGGAATATAGTCATGGTTATTCTGGGCCTTCAGGTACTGTCTGGTTTACACCTCCTGTAACTAGGGGATAATATATAATGTAAGCCCAAACTGGGACACTCTTGAGTGAAAAGAAGGCATGAATAATAATTACATTGTGACAGTAGTCATTAACTAGATTTGTCTCAGGCAAACAAAGACCCTTTAGCCCATGCTTGGTATTGACAGCCTATACTTAATGGGTACTGAGAGCCCATTTTTGAAGCATGGGATAAGGGCATCATTGTAACATACAGAATGAAGCAAGCCTTCCTTCCAGTAGAGTTCACCAGTATGGAGGAGGCATTCAATATACAGTTTACACATCATTCTTTCACTGAACAGATCTTTCTCACCTATTAAAACTTGGCATATAGTAGATACTTAAAAAAATAAAAGCTTACTGGCCAGGCATGGTGGCTCACACCTGTAATCCCAGTGTTTTGGGAGGCTAAAATGGGAAGATTGCTTGAGGCCAGGAATTTGAGACTAGCCTGGGCAACACAGCAAGATCCTGTCACTATAAAAATTTTTTAAAATTAGCTGGCTGTGGCCACACACACCTGTAATCCAAACTACTCAGCAGGCTGAGGGGGTAGGATTGCTTGAGAACAGGAATTAAGGCCACAGTGAGCTGTAACTGCACCACTGTACTCCAGCCTGGGTGAGGGAGAGACAGAGACCATGTTTCCAAAAAAAAAAAAAAAAAAAGGAAACAATCTACAGGGTCAACAATAAAAGCTGATTAAATATAATATGCAATGGACCTTAAATCCAGTTGTAGAATATTTACTACATGAGCAATATTCAAGATACATATTAAACAAAAAATGGAAATCAGAAATAAGATCCCAGACTCCAGCTCTCTTTAGGGAAACACGCACACACACACACACACACACACAAAAGCAAAATAGCAATTTAGTTTCTAAAAAATGTAGGTATGTAAGCCTAGGAAGGCTAAAGGAATATAACAAAATGTCAACAGTGACAGTATTTCAATAATGGGAAAAGATTCTATTTTGGCTTTCTTTCCTTCAAAAATTTCAAAAATCATGTTTATCAAAAAATGTTATAAAAATCTGACAAATTTCTCAAAATAAAGAGACATGCTATTCATCCATTACACTAGGTATTTTATTTTATATCCTTACATTAAATCATTCGTTTGAATACTTTCAAGCACCTACTATGTGCTGAACACTGTTAAGCTCTGGGAATGCAAAGATAAATAAAAAATCTAATCAAAAATATAACTTTATAAGGAGTAAAGCTGATGAGGTGCAGGCATATACCTGCCTCATGATCTAATTTGATTTACTTTTCCAATTAGATCACGAGACTGTTATGTGCCTGGACCTCATCAACTCTACTCCTTATTGAAGTTATGTTTATACAACTTTAGTTGTTATTGAGGATCATATTAAAAAAAGAAACATAAGAGTAATGTGTTAGCATGTTTTATAATTTATCATAGGTATTATTTATAATGTCTAATGTTCTGTTACATAAACACTACAAAATGTCTGAAATCTTCACCCCATTCTTTATTTTCCAGCAGATATTCAGCATATTAGAACAGTGGCATTCTCCTGAACAGATGCTAGAACCAAGTCAGAGTCATCTATTCAGATACTCTGCTGAAGTCACAAGGTACTTCAGAAACCAGAGGAGATCCTGCTTCCAAGGGGCTTATAGGAGAGACAAAATGCAGAGTCCTAAGCAATAGAAAAAGAATACTGTGTTACTGTGCTATGTGTCCAGTGACTAGCAAGGGCAAGATGAACTAGAAAACAGCTAACTGCTGAAAAAATGTAAAGGAATAGAAACAGAATCCATGAAACTAGATGAAAGTGGCATTTTAAGATTATTCTAGCACCAGTGTACAAGGTGAACTGGAGGATGGAAAAGTTTAAGTAGGCGGTGTAGGTAAGAACTATTGTAAATCAAGAACAAAATGTAAGGAAATGAATTGACGTGGTAAAAATGGGAATGGAAAGAAGACACAATGCCATATCTATTACAAAGAAATAAAGTTGGTAACAATACGGGGAACAACTAAAAAGCATCAGCTGAGGATTAAAGTTTCGAGTCTAGGTAACTGGGATAACTGACTTCCATCAAAGCAAACAGTATGTGATGTCACATTTTTCTAGGGTGGGGTTATAAAGAACATATGGACAAAAAGTCAAAATAAGTATCTTTTGGACAAGGACAAAATTCACTTAAGACAAAGATGGAAATGATGATCTGGCTACCTTTTCAGAAAAAAAAAAAATACAGTCAACTGGAACTCCTCTATCTCCTCTATTTAACAAGTATTTATTATTAATAAATGCCTACTATGTTCCAGGTCTTGTACCAGAGCAGAAATGAAGATACACATGTGAGTGTAAAAGAGCAGGCACTGCCTGACCCTGTCCTCTTCACCCTAAGGTCTGGGTTATGGTTAAACAATATTTCATGCTGTACAGTTAGATATAGTGCTTTATTATTGCTACAAACATTTCACATTTTTTTGCCAGTGACTTCTGCTTTTAAATACTTAAGTGATGATCTCCAATGTCAATTTCCAAATTTAAGTTTAACGTAATACGGTGAGTAGAGATAAGAACACAAGTACAGAAGAGAAATTTAATTTGGGCATCAACAAACTTCTGCGTTCTTAGTTACCAATATTGAGACCATAGCAACTCCGTAAAACACGTTGTATAACAGTCCTCCAAATTGCAATTCAGTCCTAAAATCTAGATCATAAGAAGCTCTGTAACACCGTCCTACGGAAACATACAACTCACTTTTAAGATTCAATCCACTTATTTTTTGAGAGCAACTGAAAACACAGAACTGTTGACTGAAAAATCTTTGCAACTGCACATCTCTAGAATTAAACACATACCTGAAAGTTTAAAATTCTGCTCGTTTTTTGTTAAAGAGCCGTCAGCCTGAAACAGGTCACGCTGGGGAGAAAAAGCCATAGGCTCATCCATCTGAATCCCCAAAGACGCCTCCATCACAAGACAAAAAGGGATGCAAAATGCCAGCTAAGGGGTTACATCCACAGGGGGAGCAAAGCAGCTGTGAAAATTAGAACACTGGAGAAGTTTAGAACACTCGCTAAACCACGCACTAAAAATATACCACTGCCCTGAAAGGGGCAAACATTTTTAAACGCACCATGTGTTCAAACCTCCACAGTAGGGCATACTGTGGTCATTTCTAAGGAATTCCATATGCTTTACTTTCACCTTTCAGAAACACTGGCAGGGGGCTGCAGGGAGAATTTCCAGGTCGGGGCACCCACGCAGCAGCAGGCGTGGTGGGGGAGGCGAGTCGGGCGTAGTCTGCGGGACCGCTAGGAGGAGGGGCCGAGCGCCGAGGGCGGTTTGAAGTTAGGAAAAGGACTGAGGAAGGAAACCATTTCGCCACTGACAGGGAGCGCCAGGAGGCTCGTCCAACGCCCCCGCCCCACGCAAGTTGATGGAGAACTGATACGACCCTGGGTCACGAGTGCCGGGCGGAGGAGGGGAAGGGGGAATGAATGGGAATCCTCCTGCCAGCCCTGATCGCTAGCACAGCCGGGAACTACCCGCTACCCTCGGGCCCGAGACCAAACCGGATGCTTAGTGCGCAGGCGCGCGACTTTCCCGCCGCAGGTCAGAGGGATCCCAAGGGGATCGAGGAACGGAACTGCACGGCGAGAAAACCGAAGTCACTATCCAGAATTCGTTCCTAATCCCTCACAATCCCGCGACATGGAACAAACTGTCGGAAACTCACAGTTTAAGGGAGTACGACTTCTGTGACCCCCCGGATGCCTGGGTCGCCGTCTCCAAGAGCTCCCCACCTACCGAGTCGATCGGACGCGCCTGCGCAACACTTCCCGCCGCCGTTCTGGTTGCACATGCGCATACTAAAGCCCTCGGCGCCGCGGATTCCGCTACGAGGCGCTTGCGCAAGGGGGTGGGGCTTTTTCCCGCAGCCTTGACCTGCTAGAAGGGCGGTTACAGGAATGAAGCCCGGGGATGATCTTAAAAAACTGGATGAACCGTAAGGTTAAGGGCCCAACACGGTTTCCAGGAAAGAAGCTAGCTCAGAGAAGGGAAAAACCTCAGGTGTTGACACATCTTTACATACAGTGGCCGCACAACACACTGGGCACGCCATGGATAAAAGGCACTTTCTTGACTCTGCTTCTACTTCCTTTTCGTTGAGTGCCCTACTTCCCTGTTAAAAAACAAGCAAAAAGATGTAATTGCTGATTGTTTTGGCTGTATTAGTAGAAATTAGCACAGTGGCAAGCAGGCAGTGTGTACCATTTACTGAGCCCTTGGCTATGAGGTAGGCGGGTTTCTAGGGGCTGGGATCATAGTGAACAAGACAAACACCATCCCTGTAGGAAGCTAAACTCCAGTGAAGCAATGACAGTAAACGGATGAATAAATGAACAGTATTCTTTCCGGTATTGATTAGTACTTGATGAAATAAAATGAAGACACGTGATACTGACTAGGAAGGTGGTATCTTGATGAGATGGTCAGGGAAGGCCTCTCAAAGAGACCTGGATAAGAAAGACCTGGTAGGGAAACTATTGTCCTGGCAAAGAAAGGACAAGGCAAATGCAGAGAAAAAGAGGAGCTTGGTATGTTGCAGGGGGAGGGCAGGAAAGGCCAGTGTGAGCAAGTGGGAAGATAGTCCCAGAGAGATGAGGTTGGAGAGTTAGGTAGAAGCCAGACTATGGAGGTCCTTGAAAGCCAGGGTAAGAAGTTTGGCTTTTATTCTGAGTACAATGGGAAGCTATTTGAAACTTTTAAAGCAGATCTATGTCTTATGAAGAGAATGGATTGTAGAGGGGCAAGAGCGGAAGCAGAGAAAATAGGATACACTTCATGTTTAGAAGGAAGATAATGGTAGTCTGCACCAGAACAATGGCAGGAGAAATAAAAGAAATAAGACAATGGGGTTTGGTGATTGGCTGTGGAAAATGAAGAAAAAGGCATCATCAAAAGTGAATCTTAGGTTTTGGGGCCAGCACATGTGTGGATGGTAGTGTGGCATAGAAGGGAAGTCTGTGAGGTAATGGTTTTTGATTGAGTGAGGTGGAAGAGAGTAAATCAAGAATTCTAGTGTGGATATTGAGAAAGAGAAAAGCAGACCATGACATCCAGGAGATGGCCTGGTACCACCAGTTTGGCTTGCTGTTGCTTTGAGCTGGCCTGGCAATCACAGCTAGGCATAGGTATTCTTCTATTGAACAGAAACAATTTCACAGAACATCAGACAAGACCACTCTGTGACCATGATAGATCAAGACAAAAGTGAGATCACTGTGTATTCAGTTCATAACTGAACACAGACACAACATAAACATTGTCCCATTCTTTTGTTGTCTGTGCTTTTGGTGTCACATTCAAGAAATTATTGTCAAATCTAATGTTGAGAAACTTTGGCCCTTTGTTTTCTTCGAAGAGTTTTATAGTTTTAGCTCTTTGTTAGATCTTTGATCTATTTCAAGTTAATTTTTGTAGATGGTGTTAGGTAAAGGTACAATTTTATTCTTTTGCATGTGGATATCCAGTTTTCCAGGAGACTTTAACTATATATTTTTTTAAGCTTTTTAAATTTGGCTAGCAAATAAATTGCCCAGGCTGACTTCACTTTGAAATTCCATTTTCAAGTACAGGTAACTTCATGCTCTATTATTGAAAAGAAAATACTAATTTTTGTCCCATTGTCTTGTAGCATAAAGAGATACAAATCTCTCAGGAATAGATTAAAAACATTATTTTTTTAAAAAAAAGAAGCCAAGCAGTTTAATGTAACAGTTATTTATCTATCTAGTGTTCTCGTATATATATTCATTTATCCTTTTTTTGTGGTACCTGTGGATAGTTGCAACCCAACTTCAAAAATTTAAAACATGAAAAATGGGAAGCTTTGTAAAAAAATACCTACAAATCTACCAAGGGAGAAAAAATATTTATAGTATGAAATAAATATGTTGTACCTGAAGATAACTGCAGCATACAAAGGAAACAAAAAACACATATTTTCCTCCTAAAACATACAGATTTCCAACACTCTGAGGAAAAAAAATCCTGTTATTGTTACTAAAATTCAGAGAGACTCACAGGACCAAATTCATATTTTAAAAATTAAATGGAAACTTATGAAAATTGAGATTTCTGTACATTCCCAGGGCTCCAGTATATAGTAAAATACTATTAGGACTGGGAGGTCAAGGAGCAAGTACTGTGAGATGTCAAGTTTCATCTCCAGGGGCTGAAACTCTGAAATGTGCTGATTATTTCAGTTCTGCTATGAATGGGAAAAATACCCACTATGATGAAATCATAATGGCTTGACTTCCAATTGTTCATTATCTTTAAAGATTATTTCAGATTTTGAAAAATCCCTAGAAATTTCAAGTTCACGCCCTTTGTGTTGGTGCCTTTTTACAGGAAAAGAAATATGCTTAAGAGCACATTTTAAAAATGACATATCAATACTGTATAAAACTTTTCATATTCTTAGTCCAGGCATGGTGGCTCACACCTGTAATCCAAGCACTTTGGAGGCCAAGGTCGGCGGATCACCTGAGGTCGGGAGTTCAAGACCCGCCTAACCAACATGGTGAAACCCTGTCTTAAAAAATAATCATATCACGCCTGTAATCCCAGCACTTTGGAAGGCCGAGGCGGGTGGATCACGAGGTCAAGAGATCAAGACCATCCTGGTCAACATGATGAAACCCCTTCTCTACTAAAAATACAAAAAATTATCTGGGCATGGTGGCGCATGTCTGTAATCCCAGCTACTCGGGAGGCTGAGGCAGGAGAATTGTCTGAACCCAGGAGGCAGAGGTTGTGGTGAGCCGAGATTACGCCATTGCACTCCAGCCTGGGTAACAAGAAGCGAAACTCCGTCTCAATAAAAAATAATAATAATAATAATAATTAAAAAAAGAGAAAAAAACTTTTCATATTCTTATGTGTTTTAAAATTACAGAATAAGATTGTAATTAGCTACCTTTTATTTTTTAAAAACAAAGATGTGAATGTTCATTATTTAAGACAATTTACTAAGATATAATTTAATACAGCAATATTAATTTGGGCTTAGTGCTAGTGGTTTTTCGATTTAGAACAATTATTTCTCAGTTTTATGTTTTAAATATAAAATTTTATCCCAAAGAAGAATTTTCCTGTTAGGCTATGTATCACTGCCCCTTCTCTAAAATACTAAAATAAATAAATGTATTTGTTTATTTATTTAATTTTATTTTTTGAGATGGAGTCTTGCTCTGTCACCTAGGCTGGAGTGCAGTGGTGCTATCTCGGCTCACTACAACCTCTGCCTCCCAGGTTAAGCGATTCTCCTGCCTTAGGCTCCTGAGTATCTGGGACTACCATGCCCCTGTGAGACAAATCCAGCCGGACGCCTGTTACCCACCATTCCTGGCCCTAAAATAAATTTAAATGGAGGCATAGGTACAATTAACTTCGAAGCTTTAAACACAGTGATAAACAACCTCCCATAAGTTTGAGGTTGGAGCATCACAGGGGTCTGAGAACAATAGACCAAATTCCCTGTGGGACAAATCCAGCCTGCCACCTGTTTTTGTACACAGTACAAGCTAAGAATGGATTTTACACTTCTAAGTTATTGAAAAAAATGTATAAAAGATTATTTGGGATACATGAAAGTTATATAAAAGTCAGATTTTAGTGTCCATAAATAAAGTTTTATTGGAACTCAGCCATATTCATTTGTTTAGTACTGTCTATGGCTGCTTTCACTCTACAATGGCAGAGGTGAGTTGAGTAGCTGTCACAGTGATATGTGGCCCGCAAAATTGAAAATATTTACTAGCTGGCCCTTTATGGGAAAAGTCTGCCAACTCCTGAGCATCATAATTGCAGCTTGCATTGTGCAGTCAACATGCAAATAAACCAAATGTCACTAAATCATGCAGAATAAATTTTTACCATACATCAGTTGTTTAATATGGAGAAAGAAAGCACACAATGTTTACTTAGTATTTGTTAATTACACCAGCTAAGAATTGTGACTAGTGTTTTCTAATGGTAGTTTCTTCTTCTTGACAAGAGAGCATTAGTTTACTCTTTCCTTGTGAAAAATATACTTATCTTATGATCTTCCATGAGGCAGAGATGGAAGAAATATTGTATAAGTCTCTATGCTGAAGTCTTTGTTAACAGCATGACTATAGGTGGACTGTGACTGGCATTTAATTTGGACTTGAGGAGGGAGGAGAAGCCAGCAATACTCAGTACCTCTATTGAAGTGAAGGGAAAGACACACAGTCTTTTCTTGCGGCCGCTTGTGTAGCTGGAAATGGGTTGTAGTGAAGTCAATAAAATTCTTCAACATCCTTCAATAGCAATGATTCTAGTCCTGAGCAGTTCAAATTCTATGTTGATACTTGTGTTTTCTTGCATACTCTTCTCTTGCTAGCCACATGAAAAGGCTAGAATAGCACAAATGTCTCAAAATGTAGAGCTCCAAATTATGACACCTCTTTAGAAAGATGACAGGTCCTCTGGGTATTACAAAACTAGGGCTATATCCTCACTACCTAGAAATATCCCCTTTTGGTCATCTCTCAAAAAGAGTAACTGTGATCTCAGAGAATATGTTATAGGGAGCTAAAAAAGATCTCTTGCCTTCTAGGCACCCTGAAGACTGTGAGCTGTATGTTTTAAGACTATATAGCTGGCCAGGTGCGGTGGTTCACGTCTGTAATTTCAGCATTTTGGGATCCTGAAGCAGGTGGATCACTTGAGGTCAGGAGTTGGAGACCAGGGTGGCCAAAATGGCAAAACTCTGTCTCTACTAAAAATACAAAAATTAGCTGGGTATGGTGGTGAGCTCCTGTAATCCCAGCTACT